ATTGGTTGATGGAGTTGATGTTGGTATAATGGGCTGTGTGATGGCCTTGTGAGTTTTGTTGAGTTTTCTTACATGGGAAAAGACACCTAGACCTACATACCTATACCCGTGAAAATCTACGAAAACACACACACACACACACACACACACACACACACACACACACATATATATATATATAAAAGCAAAAGACCCCTCATGCATCATTACAAAATATCCAGAACCGTAAAGCCTACAAACTTGAAATTGGGCACATCTGTTCCTCTTGGCTTCTATTTGAAATGATTTTTTGAAAGCCCAGTTCCTGCAACCAAACATCATATGTTTTAGTCTCCAGTCCCCTCACCATCCTGGTTGCTCTTCTCTGCACTTTTTCTAGAATCTCAACATCTTTTTTGTAATGTGGTGACCAAAACTGGATGCAGTACTCTAGGTGTGGTCTTACTCAGGCTTTACAGAGTGGTATTAGTACCTCACTTGATCTTGATTGTATCCCTCTGTTAATGCAATTTAGGATTGCATTAGCTTTTTTGGCTGCTGCTGCACACGGCTGGCTCCTATGTAGCTGGTTGTCCACTGAGACTCCAAGATCCCTCTCACAGTTCCTGCTATTGAGCCTGGTTTCACCCAGTCTGTAGGTGTCCTTTGGATTTTTCTTGCCTAAGTGTAGGACTTTCCTTTTCTCCTTGTTGAATTTCATTTTGTTAAATACGGTCCAGGGTTCAAATTTGTCAAGATCCCTCTGGATCTTGAGCCTGTCTTTTTGGGTGTTAGCTATTCCTGCCAGCTTAGTATCATCTGCAAATTGGGTAAGTTCCCCTTCTATTCCCTCCTCTAAGTCGTTAATGAAAATATTTTTATCGTTCATGTGTGGGAAGAAGGCACCACATTGGAGAAGGTGGGATTTGCAGGGCAAAATTCCTAACAATATTGGTTTGCTGACTCCCAATCGTTATTCCATTCTAGATTCTAAATTTCCTTTTGGTTTTTTTCACTAAGCCCAAGGAGCGCTAAGCCCTTATTATGCTTCATCCTGGTCATGAGCTTAGCATCATGAAATTTGGATCCAGAAGTGAGGTGAAATCCCCTCTTTTTTTAAAAAAATATTTATATATTTTCTCTTTGCATACAATACTTGCTTAGTGAACAGTGTACTGTCTGGGTCAGTTTATTTACATAACAATATTAAGTTCCTAATTTCTACTTCTATTATCCAACCATTGATCAAACAAACACCAAGTCTGAAAATATTCTGTCTTCTTTTCTTTTATCTTCATTGTTAGTCTGTCCATTTCTGCACAGCCTAATTTTTTTTAATGATCTCTTCTTCTGTAGGTGCTTCCTTTTTTTCCAGTACTGCACAAATACAATTTCTGCCACTGTCAAAACATGTAATATTAAATATACATTTCCCTTATCATATTTTTCTGATATTATGCCTCACAAAAAAACAATTCTGGTTTGTATATATGCTGCCTTAACCCTTTTTTCCAACCATGTATGTATTTTCGCCCAGATTTATTTATTATTATTATTTTGCTTTGGGGAATGTCCACCACAGGTGGTAGCATGTGCCCGGAATTTGATTACGTTTCCAACATTTAGCGGACATGTTTTTAAACATGTTGGTTAGTTTTGCCGGTGGTAAGTGACACTAGTGAAATCACCTCTTAAGCTCTCCTCCCCTCTACCCCAAATTCTGTCTTCAGCCGAGGCTTCGTCGTATCTCCAAGTCTCACGACTTACTCATCAACCTAGGAGATCCTTTTTAATACCCAGAAGGGTTAGGGTGGGATCGTTTTGCTCCAAACAGATTGTCAACTCGTAAAACAGTCCTATGCCTGTTTTCGAGTTGCCATAAACAAGGGGGAGGGGTGGACATCTGAAGGAGCATTACGGCAATTTAAAACCAGAAATACATTCCTCTCTTACCTTTAAAAGATTGTAGCTAGGCTACCGGATCTTCTTCCCACTAAAATCCTTCCTTGGAGAATGTGGTTGATGACATCCAGCCCATGGACATGCTACATTGGAGAATCTTATGATACACCCAGGGGAGGGGTGGGGGAAACAGAGTCACAGGTGACTGTAAATTACATATGCCAGAATTGGCTTCATCAAGGTTAATGCCGGCCTGTTGCTCCTAATAAATCTTTTGAAATCTTTTTAAAGGTTGGCCCGAGGCTCATGATTTAATTAGGGCAATCGCCGGAACTCTGACACAGATATTCAGTGAGCTAAGCTGAGGTTCACAGCCTGCTGGTCCATAAGGACCCTCCGTGATGCTCTCAGCTCTCTCCTCCTTTTTCAGGGCTACCAGTGGCTGAAGGAAAAGCTGCAGAGTGAAGATGGGAAGAAGCAGCAAAGCAAAGTGAAAGCGTTGCAGCCCATCGCCGAACGCCTGGGCTGCACCGTGGCGCAGCTGGCCATTGGTGAGGATGCTGGAGGATGGGTGGGTGTGCATGTCCCCCTTTTTTTTTGTAACTGTAAGGTCCCAGAGTTTACCTGAGTCTCCGAGGTGCCAAAGATAGCGAGACTCAAGAAGAGGCTTTAAAAAGCAACGGCTTTTATTTGTACAAAGAAGAGCTGGGTAGACTTATTCCACACGCATGCGGACAAAAAGTATGCAAGGGGAAAAAAGCTAAGTGAGTGTAGCCCCAATGTCTCATACCCAAATTTAGCCAATCAGAAATAAAAGTTTGTTACCCAACATGGCAATGTCTTGTCCATGCCTCCCCTTCCCCCACAATTATCCATTCTTCGTCCATGCTCTGTCCATTCTCTTCGTTATCTTACAGGACATTCCTTGTAGCCTTGTGTGTCTGTGCTCCTAGGCACCCTTCTCTGGCCCTGTTTGCAGGGGGGGGCTTCGAAAATTTCAGCGACTGGCTCCTCTTCCTGGTTGCTGGGTGGGCGTGGCCTATTTGGCCTCCTGCACCGGGGTGTGTGTGGGGGGGCATTTTCATCCTCCTCGTACTCCGGAGGTTTTCCTCAAGCCTCTGGGAAGGTGAAAACGGCCTCCCCAGGCTCCGGAGGCCCTCTGAAGGCCGTAAACGGGTCCATTTCTGGCCTTCTGTAGCCACTGGGGAGGCCTGTTTTTCGCCCTTTCTTCCGTGTGGGCTCTGGCATCCAAAACAGGCCGCGTGGTGACTCCTGGGAGGGGTGGGGTGGAGCAGCTAGGGGTGGGATTTGCCGGTTTGCTGAACCGGTAATTAAAAATGATAAAATTAGTTACCGGTTCACCCGAACCAGGGTGAACCGGTAGCAGCAACCCAATCCTCCCCGTTTGTCTATGGAGCAGGATGTTCGTGGGCAACTGTTTTGATCTATCTCACCTAGCTTCGAAGCAAATAACAGAAGCGAGAAACCAGATAGCAAAGGAGGCAATTCTTAACAAGGGAGGGTTACAGAATTAAATCCTGACGAATAATTCCTAACCGTAGCAAAATAGCACAAGCAATTCTTAGCAGAAGCAAACAGCAAAGCTTAGACTGAGCGGTGTCACGATGTCCCTTTATAACAACACCCCAAGGCAGGCATTGTTCTTCTCTGTCCGGGGATTCGGACAAGAGGCTTCTATCTATGGGGGACAAGGCCCAGCCCCAGAATTTTCAGTCTAACCCCTGGCCCCGGGGTGAAACGTTCTCCAAGCAACGGGTTAAGGTCTTTCGAAACTGATTCGGAGGAGCGCGCAACTGCAGGCTGCCCATGGGTTATATTGCACGGCCATTTTTGTTACTGCGTTTCTCAATGGTTGTGTTGGGTGTTCATTTTGGAGGTGCTCCAACACCGGAGCTTTTTAAGAAATGATCGGGCAACCATTTGTCTAAGCTGGTATAGGGGTCTCCGGGTTGGACTAGAGCAGCGGTCGCCAACCAGTGGGAAAATTTTGGTGGTCCACAGAGAAATGTCACCCCCAAAGCTACCCCCAAAGCAATTAATCTAGGCTGCGCGGGAACACAAGGCTGCGCTACCCACATGGCCCACAGGAACACAAGGCTTGTGTCACTTGCATTGCGGACAACACGAGATAGTGAGGGAAGGGGGGGGGAAGGGTGGAAGGGGTGAACTCACCCCACGTGCCCCACGCGCCTGGCCTGGCCACTGGACTGCTTCTTTCCGCTTCTTTCTTCTTCTGCTTTTGGCTGCATGCAAGGAAAGCAGCCAAAGTCTTTCTTTCTCTCCCCCAAGAAATGAGTCTTTGGGACCCTGCAAGGCCTCCTGCTCCAAGAGGCTGCACTGGTGTGAAAAGTCTCACAAAGACTCACTTCTGGCGGAGTTTGGGGGAGAGAAAAAGAAAGAGTTCTGCGGCTTCTGCTGCTTTCCTTGCATGAAGCCAAAAGTCTCTCTCTCTCTCTCTCTCCCTCCCCCTAAGAATGGAGACAGTATCCTGCGATCCCAAATAAAGAATGATCCATCAGTAGGAAAACGGGGGGGGGCGATTTTCTTGCAGACTTTGGGGGTTTTTGCCAGGGTCTCTGGTCTGGGGGATTTAAAATGATGAGTTTGGTGGTCCCTGAGGTCCAAAAGGTTGGCGACCCCTGGACTAGAAGACATCCAAGGTCTCATCCAACTCTGTTATTCTATTAAGCAAGAAAAGCCACACCAGCCACACCATGCTAGTTTAAACCGCGGAAGCGGAAAATAGTTAAGAATGGTGATTCCAAAGAGCGTCTGAGATGAGTAAAAGTGTGAATAGATGTGATTGTGTCAGAAACGTTCCTCTGGTTTATGATGCTTTAGCTGTGATCCTCTTGGGCTGAGAAATCAGCCCCTGGAGCAGATTCACAGCAAGGAAGGACCTGCCGAAAACGGTCTCTGGGTGCACCGGAGGTGAGAGGCAGTGATCGCACTCACACTCACACCCGAGCAGTGATTTTAGGAAGGTGGGGGGGAGAAGATGCTAAACTTGTTCCTTTCTGACCTATTTCGGGGCGGGGGATCTTTTTCCCCCCAACAGCCTGGTGTCTCCGCTCGGAAGGGGTCAGTTCCGTGCTTCTGGGGGTCTCTAGCGCTGAGCAGCTCATTGAGAACCTGGGATCCATTCAGGTGAGGAGAAGCAGGCCCGGGAGGGTCTTGGGGGCTTGGTAGTGTTTTTTTGCAGACGTTTCAAGACCCAACTAGGTAACACTATCAGTGCTAGGTGGGGTTAGTGGAGATGGGAATGGGAGGAGGAGGAGGAGGAGGAGGTGGGAAGGAAGAGGAGGAGGAGGAGGACTGTGGGATCTCTGATGCTCCCTGAGTTTGGTAGTGTTTTTGCAGACGTTTCATGACCCAACTAGGTAATATTATCAGTGCTGGGGGAGAGAGTAAGGTTTGCGGAAATGGGAGAGGGAAGAGGAGGCCAGAGATCTGGGGATCGATCGCTCAGTGTGGGGTGGGGGCTGCGTTTAACCCTGTAAAGGATGGAAGTTATGGGTAAAGACAGTCTCTCTCTCCCGCCCTGCTATCCATGTTCTAGATCCAGCCGCTAGATCCAACCCCCAGCTTCCAAGCATCCCTGGAGCCCCCCCACCCAAGCCCCCCAAGCCCCAATTCTCGGTTGGCTTGAGCCGGGACAAGGAACGGGAGCTCACTCCGTCACAGGGCGCTAGGGATTCGAACCGCCAATACTGCCGGACTTCCTGATCGACAAGCCCAGCGTCTTGGCCACTGAGCCACCGCGTCCCTGTACTTTATTTTAGAGACCCTCCTTCAAAACAACCCAGAAGGCAGCCATAATAATAGATGCGATGACGGGGTTGGGAGGAGCATGTAGCAAGTTTTGTTTTCTCTCTTCATGCTGAGCCCACCCACCCCTCCCCAATTTCTCTCCCGACAGGTCCTAACCCAGCTGACCCCTCAAGTCATCCAAGAAATTGACGCGGTCCTGGGGAACAAACCCAACGCCAAGAAGGAGTCCCGGGCATAGGAGGGCTGGCGTGGCCCCACCAGACTCGCCTCCCTCCCGCTCCTCTGAGGACCCCCGAGTCCGTCTCCCGTCCCTCCCCGCCCCCGCCCGCCATCCACCAGCTGCCGCCTTCGACAAGGGCGGGGGTGGCCCAAGAGGACCTGCTTTGCGCATGAACTACAAAATATCCATATTCTTCCAAGACCAGCGAAGCAGAAAGTTGCGTCATCCTGCCCTCCCATCCGCGGAGTGGCTGCTTAATCTCGAGTTCAAATCTATGGCATGAGCAATCGCGCTTGGCGGGGAAATACCCCCCCCCCCCAGACGGCCTTGGCCTGGCTGGGCCGGTGCCCGGGCTGCTGCTGCAACTTCAACCCGTTTCCGTACGGGGAGGCCTGGCTTCCTCCGGAGGGGTTGTTGGAAAGGGTGGGGAGAGGGGGAGCAACCTAGAGAAATAAGCACAATCTCCGTCTAAGAGAACCTCGGATCCGTCTGGGTGTTAAGATAACCTCGGTTTCACTGCAACCCTCTGTCCCTTGCGTGGGTCCCTTACGCCCAGTTGGTGGGGTTCAACCGGTGTAACAACCAGTTCGGTGAGCTGCGCGTGCACTGCGTTTGAAAACCACAAGTCTTCAGCTCTAAAACTAACCTTACTGCAGCCCCGGTGAGTAAAACAGCTGTGCTGCCAAACGGGGAAATGTAGGACTAGCGCAGGGGGTGGGTGGCCGGGGCTAACAGATTGTCGAAACAACGGGTTCGCCTGAACCGGTCCAGACCCTCGGAATCCCACCCCCGGCCTACGTCCTGTGTTTGTCTCTGTGTTTGTTTTCCATGGCTTGGTTTTCCTCGGAGATTTGTGGCCCGTGGCGAGCCGCTTTCCCCAGTCAGGGTCTCCTGTCGGGGATGTGGGTGGCGGGGAGATGTCCTGGAGGTCGTCGTCCCAACGCATGTCTGAAAACCCACAAACCATCCCCAATTTGCAATACAGTCCGGGGTGAACACCAGCATTGTCGTCACTGAGAGGCACCGCCCAAGGGCTAAGATTGGCCTAAATCAGGACAAATATCACCACGCACAGTGGGAGAAAAACAGACCTCCCCCCCACCCGGTCCCCTTAAACTCCAATTTATTTATTTTTTTCCCGAGTTTGGTATATGTTAGGACGGTGCGCATGTTGAAAGTGCGGGAAAGGGAATCCTACAGTCATAAGCCGGCGTCTCGCCCTTTTTTTGGGACATCCCCGGTATCTCAAGGCAGGTGACCAGGGAAGAGAGGGGAAAGCAATCCCAGAAGGAAACTGAGTCAGGACTTGAAGGACGTCCGCCATCTTCGGGTTCTGGGAGTTGAGGTTCACCCGTCGGAAAGTTGTTGGGTTTGAAAACCGCCGCAGTAGAGCTGGTCGTGAGGGAGGGGTTTGGATCCCCTCTTCTGCCGTCAACAGGAAAGCAAAATTTGCTCCCCTGCGGCAGTGATCAGTTGAGAGGGAAGAGAATTTTCCCCCTTCCTCCTGGGGTGCACGTCCCCCAAAGGATCCCGTGGGTCAGGAGGACTCCTGAGGGTGGGGAAAACAGTTCTGGTCCTCAGCTCTTCAGTCTTCCTTCCCTCCCTCTTCCCTTCGTTCCTTTCCTTCCCCTGTCTCT